GCCATGAACCTGAGGTACTGATTTCTTGCCTCAGCTAATCCCAAATTGTTTCTCACAGAGCCCCATCCGTGATAAAAATAAATTGTTCTTTCAAGTATAGGACTCTTGATTTAGTCCCCAAAGGTGCTATTCTTTTAAATTAGAAAGTTGCTCAAAAGGCATCTCTCTCCATTCCTGTTCTATTATTTATGTTTAATCTATTTTATTCTCTTTCTACCTCGAGCCCATTCTTCTCATGAGAAAGTTAAATTAAAGGCTTGAGTAATAATATCTGGTTGCTTATATTTTTCCATCAGTTTGATTATCTAAAAAGTTTGGAGATTAAGGAGAAAATCAACAAGATACGGTGGTGCCAGGCAGCTAATGGTGCCCTCTTTCTTCTGTCTACTAATGACAAAACCATTAAGTTTTGGAAGGTGCGATTGGAACTTCAACCTTGAATCTTCATTTTTTTTAATAACGGTACAAAGAGATATTACTCCAATCATATTGGCTTATGGAAATTCATAATATAATGTGGGTCATTATTTCTGAAGATTGTATTCTATATTTTTTATGGTGAATTATTTGGGACTTTATCCTATCTGTTACCTTCATATTACCTGTCTTTCTCAAAAGTTATCATCTCCCAAACCTAACAAATTAACGAAAAAAAAGAACCATCTGAACAATAATTATCCTAATGAACTAAAACAACAAACAAATATGCACAAACAAACAACAAACTTTTATTGGCGAACCAAACAGATCTTTTGTTTTACTTCTGACCGTATTATGAATTATGAACTCGATTTACTTAATAACTATGACAAAATATACAGAGCTTAAATTGCGAACAAAATCGAAAAATAATGGAAGTTCATTGGCGAAGAACAAAAAAAAAAAGTGACGGCAGCCGCTTTACCTCAAATCACCGACTCTTTTTTTAAATCAAAAGTTACCAACAAAAAAATAGATGGTAAAATCGTCGCCGGTTTATAAAAATCGCACATGATTTTGGGGACAAGTGATGAACAGCGAAACGAAGAATACGAGGAGAACGACGCACTTTGACAAAGCAGAACACGCTAGGCATTTTCTCCTTTAAGACAAGTACAAATATGTATACATATTGGGCCAAAATGAGCCTTAAGACAAGTACAAATATGTATACATATTGGGCCAAAATGAGCCGCCAAAATAAATTGAGTCACTTTTTATCAGAACCTAATAAAACATAGGGTATAAAAAAATAGGTAATTTTATGGTACACCTATAATATAAAGTGAGGAATGAGAATGGTTTATAGTATAAATTATTTTGAGAAATTAGTTTGAATGTTACAAACAAATGAGTTAAAAGGATGGTAAAAAAATTGTTGAAAAAAAAAATATTTGTGAAAAATATTTTGAACAAACAAAAAAATATGTGGCATTTTGGTTGCTCCATAAAATGTGGGTAAGTGTGTTTTAAAATTTTGCAAACACTAGATACAATTATAGACTGAACTAGGGCCGGCTGTGCGTGCACAGCCGACTCCAATCTAGTATATATATATAGGGGAGGATCCAATGAGTCCACCCCTTAAAATGAGTCCATTCCTTAAAATATATATTAATTCAATAATAAAATAATTATTAGTTGACTCCGGCGTTGACCGTTGACTTCTGGCAAAAAATCGTTGACTTTCGACGTTGACCGTTGACTTCCGGCGTTGACTCCGGCGTTGAACGTTGACCCCTAGTATGCATTATATGTATGAAGTAAATATACATCCAGTACCATGCATTCAGTATGAACTAAATATGCATGAGATATGAATTGCACATGCAGTTCTTATGAACTAAATATGCACCAATAATATCAACTAAGTATGCACCTGTTATGAACTAAATATGCATATGTTATGAACTAAATATGCATCATGAATGAACTAAATATGCAGCGAAAAATATGCAATAAAATAGTTTTACTAATAGTAAAAAATTAAAATTGAAACATATTAACTGTTGTTTATAATTTATTTGTATATTATTGGCACCCATGATTATATTTTTTTTCATTTTTTTATTTTGATTTATTTCTATAATTAAATTCTTGTAAAATATATTTTTATTGTCGAGTACGCTAAATAAATCATAAATCCATATAATGCGAATAAGAAATATCTTGATCATAGAGGGAACTGAATTTTTTAGATATTCTAAATCAAAGTTGTTTAATTAGTATACCATATTAAATTCTAAAAAAAACATGTGTATATTTTGTAAAATATTTATACACTATTTAATATTAGATTTGTTTACATAATTTAAATTGATTACATAAATAAATAATACCAATGTGCATTAGATATTTTTCTTACATAAAATAAAAATAAAATGAATACTTTATAGATAAAAATGACTTTATATGACATAACGTGTATAATAAAACAATAATTAAGTACTATATGGTGAACAAGAATAAGTAAAATTGTTATTCTCTCTTATATCAAGGGATAAATCAAATTTAAATCAAATTTAAATTAGGATAAATATGTTAGTAAAATAATATATTAACTAGTACAACGTCCGTGTATTACACGGGTGTTTTCTAATTTTTTTCTTAAAAATTTAAAATTAATGAGAAAAAGTAGTTCAAAATTTAAATACCTTTAATAAAAATAAATATATTATTATATATTTAGTACGACCCTATTTATTTGTGCGACTCACATGTGTTATATTATAATAATTTTTCAACTTACAACATATTAATACATTAAACATAATATATGAATTGAGAAATAATTTTATTTTTCTAATGAATTTTAATAAATATTATTATTTTTATTATTATAAGGATAAATATAATTTATTTATTTTATATATACAATATGGACGTCAAATCGAAGATCATGAAAAGATGATTAATTTGATATATTATATATGCAAAACCGGTAAGAAATATAAAAGTTATCAACTTTTAAAATATATTTACAATTCAATAGCTAATTAAAGGAAACAAATCAAAAGTCAAGGATATATTAGTCACTTAGAGGATGATTGGATATAAAAAATTTTGGTTTTGTTTGGATTTTTTTGTTTGGTTTTGTTAGTTTTGAAATAGTTGGTATGGTTAATTGTTAGTGGATATATTAAAATAATATTTAAAATAAAATAATTAAAGTTGATTTGATGTAAAGTAGGAAAGAGAAGATTTGAAGTGATGGTTAGTTAAAATTATGTGAGTGGATGAATAGTGAATTAAGGTGATGTTGTGTGTAAGAATGATTGATTGATATTATTTAATTATATTGATAATATTGATGATAGTGGTGTTGAGTTAAAGTTGAGTTAAAAAAGTGGTTGAGTTAAAAATGTTTGGATTTTTTTGAGAAATTTTTGTATCCAATCATGCTCTTAGTGTCTCACTGTGTAAAATTACAAAGAATTAAAGGGTTATATTAGTACAAGTGATATTAAAATACCTAAGTTACCTAAATAATATTTATGGAATGTCCGAACCTAGATTATTAATTATTAATATATCAATATTATTTGTCCAAACCTAATTACGAAACATGATTCTTCGCCAAGTAGGATTCCGAAGCACCAGAAACAGCCACGTAGGCTCAGCGCATTCAGGAATTATATATAAGGGGGATTATTTTAATATTTTGACTAAAAAAATAATGTTGATTAAAAGAGGTGCAAAATATATTATAACTTTATTGTTTATTATACTTAACTCTGACTAAAAGAGATGAAAAATATATGATAATCCTATTGCTTTATATACTTAAATGAACAAAGCATATGAAAATAACTCATTTAATATTTATGTTCCGTCGCACGGGTACGTACTAGTATTTATGAAATGTCTGAACCTAAATTATTAATTATTAGTATATCAATATTATTTGTCCAAACCTAATTAGGATTTCGAAACCAGAAAGAGCCAGCGCATTAAGGAATTATATAAAAGGGGATTTGTTAGGGGTCGGGCCATAGAATAGGTTCACCCAAATTGTCCTTAAGAACTCTTGAGCTTTTCGAAAAAACTACAGATTTGTTTGTGGTTGTCGCTCCGCTTTCCTTCTCGTCGTAATAATATATCTCAGGTCACTTTCTGGCCGGTTGTTTTCCCCGTGGAGGCGGCTTTTGTAAGTATTGTAATTGTATGTTGGTCCTTTATTTGATTCTTATTGATTTGTATGTGTTTTCTGATAATCGAAATTTAATTTTTCTAATTTGGATCCAACAGTTTGAATCCTAATTAAGAATGGTGATATGTCGTAAACTGTGTGTCTCGTGCAGAAATTGAAACATAATGGTGAGATGTTAAAATTAAGAATCATAATTAGGCCAAAAATTGGATCTTTATTGTATCATCAAGTTCTAAAATATGTGTGTGTGTGTGAGTGTGTTGTGTGTGTGTGTGTGTGTGTGTGTGTGTGTGTGTGTGTGTGGTAGTGGTTGGAATGGAGGAGAAGTCAAAAAGATCACGTCCATACGAGGATGAGGATGATGATGATGTAGTGGAGATTAAGAGACCAATTGAGAGACCAAGAAAACCACACTATCCTTTTACATTTGCAGCAAAATTGTACGGTTACAACTGCATATTATTGGAAGATGATGAGGAGAGCAACAAAGCCGATCCTCCTCCCCAAGGCAAGTGCAGTGAGTTGTTCAATCTCGTCCCTCATGTCCGAATCAACTTCCGAGTAGATTACATTCTCCAAAAGAGAGTTGGCGGCCACATTGTTGAGGAGACTCTTTGTTCGACCCATAGATGCTTCTACATACGCTTTTTTCTCATCGCGCAATACGATTTCTACATGCATATGATCTGTGTTCCCAATGAAAATGAATACTGTCAGGTGAGGAGTGGGCTCGAGTACGACATCCACCACCCGGAAACCTTTTCTTTTCAAATTCCTCAGCTGTCACGGAGTCAATGACGAAGCTGTTATTCATAAATGGGTGGAAGACACCAAGGATTTTGTCACCAAGCTTAGAACCAAGGCGTATGATATGACTGGGTCTAATCTTAGAGTTTACCCCATCACTATGCATATCAGACTCTACACAAAGCAACTGGAAAACAAGACCATTGATGACGCAAGAAGGCGGGCCATAATGCCCAACCCATCGCGTGTGGAGCTTGGGGATAAGCTCATTAAGCTTCTCTCGACTTCCCCGCCTTACAAATTTCTGATAGAATTGAAAAATGACTGTCACCAAATGAATTGCGGTACTTGTTCGGGCAAGCTTCGTTTTCAAGACTACATATTTTTCTTGCCATGCTCTCATGCCTACCATCATTCCTGCCTAGCTCATTGGGCGAAAAAGAAAATACAATGTCAGGTGTGCCTCGAGTACGTGGATTTTCGGGATTTTCTTGAGTGTGCTGCCCTTCGGACTAAAGATTCTGGCCTCAACTAGATATCATCCAAGGCTACTTGGCCTCAACTTTCATTCTCCTCCTAAATCAACTATTTATTATGTCCTCCCCTTGAGTTCTTCATGACTCTGTTTTTCGATTTATTATTACTGGTACTGCATTTCATGGGTTTGTGAATGCTTGAATAAGACCAATGAGATAATATATGCAAGATCTTGAATATAAAAGATTAAAAACTATCTTTGTTGTTTGTCTGCAGAACTGGGAGTTGATGTGATGACTGAATGTGGACAAGCATAAACGATAGAGGTTGAGTGGCACTGGCAGCTTCATGTCTGATTCGTGAGTGTATACTTGTAAACATTTTTTAAACTTGTTCTGTTTGACGTTTGTTGTGTGAGTTCTTTTTTTTTAAA